GGCCATCGACGACTGGATCGCCGACCACGTCGAGACCACCTGGCATAGTTTGGGAACTTGCGGTAAGCGGATCTTTTGGCTTTTTCATCCGATCCCTGACGCATATTCCAAAAAGCCATGAAGCCTCGCAACGAGGGTGGTGTTGTCGACGGGCGTCTGAACGTCTTCGGTAATCAAACCTCTTTGAGTATCCAGGATTTTCCCGTTCATCTCGTTTCGCAGGCACGAAGAACCTGAAGTGCATTGACTTGAGTATCTGCCCGGTGAGTATATCTAGGATCATTCTTTGGATTAGAGTTTAATATTTTCCCTCAAGGACAATCTCGGCACCAACACCTACTCCTCGGCTTTGTTGGTCGGCGAGAAGGGAGCTTCCATCTTGGCCGAAGATCTCGGTAAATACCCTCGCCTTTTTGACGGCGGGAAACAGGCTTAATAACGTTTTAAATTAGGTCTCACGATCAAGGTCCCGCATGCGCCTGTCCCGCACGCACCTGTTCCCAAGGGCGTCCCCGCCACTCAGCAGGTTCGTCATTGAATCCGAGGTTCAGGTCACCTGTCAATGCGCGCGAAGTCCCCCGTGTACTACTACTTATCAATCCCCGCCATGTCTTATGTACGATTACACTGTTGTATGATAAGGAGGTCAAATGACGATGTATGTTGTATTGTCGGTTTGAACTTGAGAAGAATAGCGGAGTTGAACACGCGACTGAACCGTGGGAATATGATCGGAATGTTCCGTTGGCATAAAAAAATCTTCCTCCGGACCAACGACTGCGTCCCGCTACAACATGCATCCCACGGAAATTTTAAATAATAATTCTAGCTCTTCTTTGCGTTCGCCTAACTTAAACCTGGATGTGTATGTACTATGTGTGCCTTATACATCCGTTCGACGCGCATTTCTCTCCCGATTCGATTTTTAGATCCTTTAAATTCAATGTTCAGCCTCAGGTATCTGTGATTGCTGTACCGATGGACGCGGCGCGTCAAGGTGTGGGTGTGCACGAATTGGAATTGCGTTGCACAGTGGACCTGAATTCAACTTGGACTTACTCGCAGGGCTGAGCGGATGGAATTTAGTTTAGTTTACTTAACGGGGAGAGGGATGGGTTCGCTGATATCGATGACTTATGGGCTGAGTTCGGACTCAGTCGCAGACTCGGTCAGCTTACCGATGCGATGCTTGCCTATGCTTGCTGAGATATGCTGAGATTGAACTCGTAGATGATCCGACTCCCTCGGGCTACCACGTGGGGCAAACGTGGCGCAGTCCTCTGCAGTCCTTCTCTTCAGACTCTTGCCCTTGCTCGAGCATTCATCCAGGAGATCACATATCCTCTCGCCGAGCCAGCCGAGACCAAACAATCTCAAGTCTTGCCTCCCATTTGCAGGAAAAGTGCGCTGCTCAATCGGGATTCGGTATGTCACCTACCGCTCATCGGGACCATCCAGGAGACTCAAGAGCCTAGATCCAGACAAATGGAAAGTCCTGTGAGCCTTGAAACTGTGGCTTCATGGGGAAATAGCGTCCCTCCCATCGCCGAGGCTTTAATCGCCCGACGATGGCTCTTTACGGCGGAAAAAGAACTTGTGCGCATCGACGAAGAATTTCGTTCCCTCAAGTCACGTCGAGAGGAACTTGTCAAACAGCTTGCCGTATATCATGTAGCATTTGCTCCGCACAAGATTCTCCCCGTCGAGGTCCTCCGTCAAATATTCATATCTTGTATTTCGGAGGGCGACCTTTCAGTGGATTTGAACCGCATGGCTCCCCACCTTGGCTATGGCATGGGGGTCAATATACGCTTGGTACTATGCCAAGTGTGTTCCGGTTGGCGGTCTGTAGCGCTAGGAACGCACGAGCTCTGGACCGATGTGCGAGGCAACTTCAATAGGAGAAATGCCACGCACCTCATGAACGTATTTGATGTGTGGCTTTCCCGCAGCGGCGAACATCCATTGACGGTGGATATTTCTGTCCAAGTAGATGATGCACGCATTGGGCAAATGCTCGTCAAATATTTGCACCGATGTCGCTTTCTATCCGTCAGCCCAGTTCATTCCATGCACCGCTTCCTCGACTTTGCCCCAGGATCCGAAATTCGTTTGGAGACCCTCATCCTTCGGGAACAACACCGGAACCGTGCTGGTTCACTCCCCCGTCATGTGCCAGTGTCACTGTTTGCTGGCGCGGCGCGTCTCCGCTGTGTCACGTTACAGAGTTTCCTCCGGGAAACAAATTTGGAGGACCTCGGTATTCAATGGCACCAGTTGACGAAGTTGTACTTCAGGTCTACGCAATTGGCAATCTCTGAATATTATTCTATCCTTCCCCAGTGCTCAGACCTAGTAACCACCGAGATCAGTTTACCGCAGCAATCCGAGTGGGCCCCAGTTCGGGATTTCCTCCTGCCAGAGCTTCTCTCGTTGAAGCTGGATTCATATGTTCTGGCTCATGCAGCTCTGTTCCTCCAGAGGATTATCCTGCCTTCTCTCGTCGACCTTACTATCACTGTCTCCGATGACTCCCCAGAATCGATCCCCACTGTTCCCACGTTCCCCGCCCTGAAGAGGTTTTCAATCCTTCGCGCCAACTGGACTTATTATGAATCTGACGCAGATCTATTGCCATGGCTGCATGCTTGCAATTCTGCGGTGGAAGTCTGTCTTCCCTACTGCGTTTTGGGAGCGGCGCACAGCCAAATCGCTGCGGGGTCACTGCTTCCGAACCTGAAACTACTTACTATTCGCGCAGGCAACCTAGCTGATGTAATCGCGATGGTCGAGGCGCGTCTGGAGAGTCCATCTCACTCAACCATCACCGAAGTTGGTTTTGAGGGAAAGATTCAAAGAATTTCTAGGGAAGAACGCGAATCAGTGGAAATTTTAATGGCGGCTGGTGTTTTCATGTGCGACATGATGTCGACGATGTCGGGGCGCCTGCATCGTGGAATGGTATGTTGTATATGTTCTCTGGAAATTTGGCCTGCGTCCAATGTCTTTCAATAGATTGAAGCAACGACCCGACAGGCTTACAAGGAAGGAGACGGCCTCTTTCGCCCTGTCAAAGACACTGACTCTGACTCGATGTACTCATGGGACTCGGACGACCTGTACCACTGGCACGACGCCGCGAGCAATAGTGACTAAAAGCTCCATAACTCCCTATGGCCTCCGACTTACTACTCACGAGAATTCCGTGATGTAAAATAGGATTGTGCTCCGAACCGATTCTGTACCCAACTCAGCCCGTGTGAAAATATTTAGCCACCAACAAAAACCCTAACAGAGCTGGCTTTTTAACTACCGACGGAGCCCAGACTCATCCATGAAATGAGCCTGGATCTGTCATTCACGGAGCCCTACTTTGAGTATTTTCCGCGTCCAACTTAGCCGGCTTTCGAGCCATGAACCGAGCTGATTTGCAGAGGAACTTACGATCCCCTAGTAACACTAGGTTCCCTCATACCAGATAATGCACCACTGGTCCCCCGTCGCAAATTATGTGACCATTGCTCTCGGTGCGGAAAACTTTCGTGCGAAAGTTCAAGAACAAATTCACATCCAAGTGTGCACACTTAGACCCGCCTTGTTCTACGCGTGAGTCGGTTGAATATGAGTTCGGCATTGGTTTCATGCCTGACCGTTGCATTCCAAAGTTCGGACTACGTTACATAGAAAGTCCGAGTCGTTTTTCCATCAGTAGATGTCGCAGTTCTAGGTCATATTATCGGTCCTGCCGTGCGCTTCAACGACTGTTCAATTTTCGGGCCTGGATTCACTCTATCCTTGATCATAATGACGGGTAGTGAACGGGGATTTGTACGATTATACCATTCTATGATGCGCAGGTCGAATCTCAATGAGTACATATACGCTGATACACTGAAGAATTATCGTCCAACGGTTCAATTCAACAGACTGAACCGTGGGAAGGTGATCGGGATCTTCCGGTGTAAAGCAAACCCGAATCTATCCACAGGGAGATTGGGCCGTAGGCTCTATCCGACATCCTCAGAGCTATGATTCAACCCCCACTCCCATTTACTGCGTTTCCGAGAGCGAGCGGTGGCCGGGGTTCAAGTTCTAACTCCTCACTAACTTTCGCCCCACATGAGCCCATAAGAACAATTTACCATTCAAAATGAAATTCGCTAGGACTATATAGTGACCCCCTCGTACCCTGACTTGAAAGCCGACGGGAATAAAGTCCTCTTTCTATCAACTTCATTTGTTTATCAAGAATAAGTACCCTTCAACTTCTCTTGACGTCCCCGATCAAAGTCGGTACGCCTGGGAGCCGAAGTCAGCCTTGGCTCGACTTTGAGGTGATTCCTTACTGATTCCGGGTGTCTCGAAAATGTGAGCCATTGTCCGCAATCGCACCATTCTTGCTTATGAGCGGAGGAGACACTGACTCATTATATCCACACCCGTTGGCCTGCAGATTTGCCGGGATGTGAGTCTAGGCCTGATTTGTCCAGTAAGTGCGCCCCGCTAACCACCTTTAACACGTCGTATGTTAATCTGTCTACGAGAGACTACTAACCACCGGCGAATGTCAATTTCCCGAGAATGGATTGCGGCCGAGCTCATCTCGTTGATATTATCGCGTGCACTGTGCATACATCCGACCTCTACGCTGCAACCCCATCCCGAGTGGAAGAGATCTATCTCGTTTCGTTACTTTCGGTTCACTTTGGTTTCTATATATACCTTCCCCCCTCTCGCCTTAGGTGCCGAATTTACTTACTCGCTCGCCAATTTCGGGTCTGGAGCGCGTTAATGTCGCGTAATCAAAGCGCCCGGTTTCTTTCGAGCGCTGATTTATAAAGTTCGTGGTCCTGTACTTTCACCGAAGGATATTGCAGATTTTTCATACGGAAAATTAGTATTGGCTAACGATGTGCGGAAAGTTTTCCCCGCTGAGTCTGGTCTATGAATCAAGTGGAATGAGCACATGAGTACTACATCCAACGCCTCCATTTTAGGTCTGCCCCGTGGTCTAATGGTACGATACCAGCAAGCTCTAATATTTTGATCAGCTGGAGATTGTGAGTTCGATTCTCGCCGGAGCTTTCCTTTTTTTTTTGCCCACTCAAAAAAAGTCGAAACTATCGGTTTTTTGAGGCATAGTGCAAAAGGTTGAGATACGTCTTTTAAGCCGGATGTCACGTGCTTTTCTCGCTTTGTCCGACTAGGCTCGAGCTGGCATGAGCCGGGAAAAAGAATCTCTGTTCGTTCTTATGGCCCAGTAGTCGCGCTCACCCCAGGCCTCCCCGTCCCTGAGCGCTCACAAAAACAGTCCACGATTCAGAATGAAATTTGCTAGGAGGATGGAACTTCGACGTCGTATAATGATCATTTACTCCAGCTTTGTTTACTACTTCGCGATTCCTGGCAAAGACACAACTCATTCCAACGGCACAATTCCATGGAATGTATTAGTATTAAGATGGAAAATGATGAGGAAGCGATACAAGAAACGGGAGAAATATGTAAAAGAAGCGAGTCGGAAAAACAGTACAGTGTAGATAGATAGATACAGTGTGAACATGATGCAGCAGTACAGTACAGATTAAATGGTAGCAAGATGATATGACAGTAGTACATCCGGTATAGCAGGGGGGCGGTATCAGGGTGGTGACTAGAATGCGACGGCTAGAGGCTATGGGGAATCCGGGTACATTATCGAAGCGTGTTTGCGCAGAAGCGGTCTTGAGGTGCCGCCCGCTTCTGCGGTCAGCCTACTAATGGCGTTCAGCAAATCCACCCGCCGCAGGGGTTCTGGAATAGGGTAAGTACATGGTACGGCAAGGAAGAGGGCCCACGTACTCGTTATGTGATCGTCCTAAAACAGTCGAGGGTCAGTGCTGAAGGGACAACAAGGGAAGGGACTCACCATGCCAGCCTGGAGACATCGCTCCCGATCGCCAATCACTAGGAAAGAGTGAGCAAAGTAAAATACAAGGCAGGCGAAATACGTACTAGCGTGCGCCGTCAAGGCGATAATTGGCGTGGGCGACAGATCGTAATCCCGTTCGTACGCCCGTATTCGCTGCGTAGCTTCCATCCCACCCATGAGTGGCATCGACACATCCATCTGAAGAACGTAAGTTTCATAAGCGGTGAAGAAGTATCGACACGCACGAGGATAACGTCGAACGGCTTGTTCTGCAATGCGCGGTCCATGAAGGCCTGAAGTGCCAGACTTCCGTTCTCAGCAAGCTCGATTGAGTGCCCATATTTTTCTAAGATCTTGAGGGCGAGCTTCTGATTGACCATATTATCCTCTGCGAGGAGGATGTCGTAGGTGACATCGGTCGCCGCGGAAGCGGGATTGACGGTGTTATTTTCTAATGCAGAAAGAAGCACCGACGAGAGGTCCAGAGACGTTATGGGTGTCGTGTTGTGAGCACTGATCCCGTTCTCCAAACACCATTTCACTGATTACGTCAGCAAATGATCGCCACAAACGGACTACAAAACGTACTATTGAGACGTGGCAGCTCCGGCGCTAGGAGGGCAATAGGAATATACCGCAGATGCTCGTATTCGCGCATGGTTTCCGTCTGCAAAGTGGATCGTGAGGATCGAGGTCGCAAGACTATACGCACGGGACTTACGACGGGCAGGGAGTCCACGATTATAGTATCGATATGTGGGCATTTCTCCTTGTCGGCGACTTCGCTGACGTCGTGGACAACGACGGGAACCAGACCGAGCTCTGTGATACGGTCTTCGACATCAGTACTGTCGTGCATCGTATCAACGAACAGAATAGTCCGTTTTGTGAAAGGCGACAATTTCAAGAGCGTCGCCTCCAGCGATTGCTGCTGGTTGGTCTGCGATGTGATCGTGAAATAGAACTTGCTTCCTTTCCCGAGCTCGCTCTCCACCCAGATGTCGCCCTGCATGAGCGAAGTCAGACGTTTGGAGATGGAAAGCCCCAGGCCTGTTCCGCCATATTCCTGAAGAAGAGAGAGTCAGCCCGAGACGAAGAAGATTCAAGGAAAAGCACGCACTCGCGTTGTCGACCCATCAGCTTGACAGAAAGTGTCGAAGATGAGATTCAGCTTGTCTTGTGCGATGCCGATACCCGTGTCCATAACACAGAATTGGAGCGTGACACTGTCCGTGTCTAGAGAGACGAACTGGATGCTGAGCGCCACATATCCGACCCGAGTGAACTTGATGGCGTTTCCGACGAGATTGGTGATGACCTGCCGCAGCCGAAGCGAATCTCCGATAAGCGCATCAGGGATTTCGGGGGCGACGTCTAAAATCAAGTCAAGCCCTTTCTGAGTCGCTCGGCCAACGAGGGTTTTCAGAATGTCGAAGACAGTCTGTCGCATGGAATACGAAACTGCTTCCATCGTCATTCGACCAGCCTCGACTGAAAGAACGGACATGAGCAAAACGACACTGGGGCGCACTGAGGCGCAGACGAAGCACATACTCTTGGAGATATCCAGGATATCGTCGATGATGAGGAGTAAGCTGCGCGCTAAGCTATGTACGAGCAGCAAGCTTTCTCGCTGACTGCGGTTCAGGTCGCTATCAAGCGTGAGCTCCGTCATCCCAATGATACCATTCATTGGTGTCCTACGTCGAGTTAGGTCAAGAACGGACTACGATAGAAGAGCCACTAACCGGATTTCGTGACTCATGTTGGCCAAGAACTCGCTCTTACTCTTGTTCGCCAACTCCGCGGCCTCTCGCGCGGCAGTATTCTTCTGAATGCTGTCGCGCAGGTCGTAGAGCATCTGATTGATCCGAGATTTGAGCTCGTCCATCTCACCGCTCGCTTCGACCGTGATAAACGAGGTGAAGTCGCCGTCTGACGCAGCCTTGGATATCTGGGCAAAGCCTCGCACTTGGGTGGTCAAACTGCTGGCCATGGTATTGACCGAGACACTAGAGTAACGATCAGCGGGTGTTCGGAATACGAAAGCAAAGAACCATACGTGATCTCAAGCCATATTCCCTGGACATTGCCGACTTCTGCCTGGACGCCCATGTTCCCCTTTGTGCCGACCTCCAACGCGACCTTCTTGACTTCGCTGGCGAAGATGGCCAACTGGTCAATCATCTCGTTGATGGTGTTGACAAGACTGAGCATCTCTCCGGAGACGGATAGACCCGCAATCTTTCGCGTCAAGTCGCCTTTGGAGACAGCGGTCTGCTCGGGAATGAGACGTGGAAGAAATGATGTCATTAAGGACATACCGTTGCGTCAGAGATTGTCCGCACTTGTAACGTCAGCTGAAAGGAACGTAGTTCAGCATAGAACATCCGCAGAACTGACTCGCGCTCACGTTATTGGCCATGACATTGACGTTGTCCGTCAAGTCTTTCCAGGTCCCTTGTACGCCTTCGACCTCAGCTTGCCCACCGAGTTTGCCTTCCGTGCCGACCTCTCGGGCAACCCTCGTCACTTCAGCAGCGAATTGACTCAATGACGCCGTCATTCCGTTGACTGTGTCTTTAAGATCGAGGATCTCCCCGTGCGCAGTGATCATGACCTGCTTCGTAAGGTCGCCGCCGGCGACGGCTTTCGTGACCTGCGCAATAGACCGTACTTGGTCGGTCAAGTTTTGCGCCATCAAATTGACGTTGTCGGTAACGGTCTGCAGAAGAACGTTTAGAATAACCCTTTCGGAACGAAACGCACTGACCTTCCACATGCCCGTGGTCCCGACGACCATGGCCTGTCCCCCGAGCTTGCCTTCGGTCCCGACTTCGATACTGACACGGGTGATTTCCGACGCGAGGGTGTGCAGCTGGGTAACCATGCCGTTGATGGTCTTCTTGAGGTCTAGCATCTCGCCCTTGACCTCGATTTCCACCTGCTTCGTCAAGTCGCCAACCGCCACGGCCTTGGTGACCTCGGAGATCGACCGCACCTGGCCCGTGAGATTCATGGCCATTTTCTGCGAGAGTGTTAGGATCGGAAACGGAGAAAGAATAAGAAACGTACGTTGACATTGTCGGTGAGCGCCTCCCATGTCCCCTGCACGCCTTCGACCTTTGCTTGCCCGCCCAACTTCCCTTCCGTGCCGACTTCAAGAGCGACTCGAGTCACCTCGCTCGCGAATATACTGAGCTGCGACACCATGTTATTGATCGTGGACTTCAAGTCGAGCATCTCGCCCTTGACGTTGATTTCGATCTTCTTGGTGAGATCGCCGTGGGCGACAGCAGTGGTGACATCAGAGATCGTCCGGACTTGGTCGGTAATGTTAAGCGCCATTTTCTGGGAATAATCGGTAAGGAGCGGCTTTAGGAGCGGCATTCAAAAGGAGTAAAAGGCTTACGTTGACGTTCTCCGTGAGATCCTTCCATGTCCCTTGGACTCCCTTGACTAAGGCTTGCCCTCCGAGCTTGCCTTCCGTCCCGACTTCAAGGGCGACACGAGTGACTTCGCTGGCGAAGATATTCAGCTGCGACACCATGTCGTTGATGGTGTTCTTGAGATCCAGCATCTCTCCCTTGACGTCGACATCGACCTGCTGCCCCAGATCCCCCAAAGCAACCGCCTTGGTTACTAGCGAGATCGAGCGCACTTGCCCCGTCAAGTTCGAAGCCATTTTCTGTCAAAAACGGATCAGTCAATACGCGGGAAAAGGAGTCCCCGATATAAACTCACATTGACGTTCGTCGTGAGATCTTTCCACGTCCCTTGCACACCCTCCACCTTCGCCTGGCCTCCGAGCTTGCCCTCGGTTCCGACTTCAAGAGCGACACGAGTGACTTCGCTGGCAAAGTTCTTCAGCCGCTCCACCATCTCGTTTATGGTGACCTTCAGATCGAGCATCTCCCCGCTGACATCGACCTCGATCTTCTTGTTGAGGTCGCCGTACGCGACGGCCTTGGTCACCAGTGAGATGGAGCGCACTTGGTTCGTGAGATTGGACGCCATTTTCTACAGTCGTCGAGTCAGCGGCATGTCCGCACAGAAGATGGCGCGGACAACTCACGTTGACATTGTCCGTCAAATCCTTCCACGTCCCTTGCGCGCCCTCCACCTTGGCTTGCCCGCCCAGCCGCCCCTCGGTGCCGACCTCCAACGCGACTCG